GTAACCACTTCTTCCTTGACCTTCTGTTTTGCTGACTGAAGTTTAAATGAAGCATATAGAAATTGAGACCTTAATGTATGAATGGGAAGATCTTTCTCTTGTGTCTGTGTGTGATAGCAACAAGTATGTAACAGGTGTGTTCTATTCAGTTTATCAGATCAAAGAAATGATAAATACCCCTTTAAAGATATATTATTCTCTTAAATCTAATTTCTAGTTATTTAAAACTAGTGTAAAATTTAGTAAACTCTTTTTCTATCGTATCTCTATGCTCCTAGGTCACTCTGTGTAGAGATTCCAGATAAGTTTAGAGTCTACTGCTGCGCTCAGCATGAGAGATGCAAGATTTTTTATAAAAAGGTTATACCTTTTCATTAGACCAATTGATATTTATTTGAAAAAAATCTGACATGTTTGCCTGCATAGCCCCCTTTCAGGTTTCCAGTCTGTTGGTGTAATCGTTGTCCTTGCCTTGATCTGAAAGTATTGGTGAATCTTACATGAACGTTGTAGCTCTTGGAGGCGACCTGGGTGGCCTTGTTTGGGCTAAGGCCTTGCTAACTACCTTTTGGTTACCCTGGTTGTTGCATTGGCCCTCGGCGGACGTAGGAAAGCTGTATTCTGGTGTCCCTCCGTCTTCGCTTCCTTTACCAGCATTTGGACGTGTCCTAGAGTCTAGACTTTGTGTTCAATCGATTGCAGCTAAATAGATGTTTTCCAATTCTTGACGACTTTAATAAAATTCTGTCAAAGAAAATAATTATATGAGACTAAGAGCTTGTTTATATATTTCTTTTTCTGGACATAGTTAAGAATCATGAAGTATTTAATCTTGGACTTTGTCCTGTGTTCAGTGAAACATTTTAGTTAATATGCATGGGAAAAGATGTTTCATTTTGAGAATCAAGGCTATTGCTCAATAAATTGTCTTATTGTCTTAAATGGTTATAATATTCTTAAAGAATGTTTCCAAAATCTTGGAGCAAATACAGAAATGAGATTATTGTGCCATAGAAAGGAAAGAATACATGAGCATTTTTCTGCTTAATCAGCCCTATCATTAAAACAGCTACGTCAGCATCCTTTTGTACTTGCTCCTTGGCTACGGCACTAGAGCACAGCGGGATGTGTAGGATTTTCTCAGCTTTAGTAGCTGACCTATAAAGCAAGCTATTAGTCACAAGTTTTAAAAGTGGGACATGGATGGCCATACAGATGTACTAATAATCTGTGCACCCAGGCATATATATGGAAAGTCTGTTTACCAACCACAAGTGACCATCTTTAAAAGGCTATTTTTTTTTTCCTTTTAAAAATTTATGTAGTACTTGAGAAATATTGTTACAGTGGAAGGATATTTCAGTGGTGAATAGGTTTGAATGGGACCTGAGCAAGCTGTTCAGTGAGCAGTCTGGGGAAAGGAGTATGCTAGGATGGCCTTCACTCCCACCCCTCTTTCCAGACCCAGGGAGCAAAACTGGCTTGCACTCAGGCTCAGTGTAAACTTGGGGAAAGTGGGGAGTCTGGAAGTCTTGG